CAAAAAAGAGGCCTCCTTCTTCCTAACAGATGCGCTATGTGCCTGCAAGAGGAAGAGACGAACCCTCACCTTTTCCTACATTGCAGCTAGGATTTCGAGCTTTGGAGCCTATTACTTCAACTGTTCCATATTAATTGGGTACTCCCACCCTCGGTTAACGCACTCACCTCCTCCTATTCTGGCCACCATTGGCCTAAGACTGGTAGAACCCACTGGAAATCAGCTATCGTTGCTATCATATGGGTCTTATGGATAAAAAGGAATGACAGGGTTTTCCGAGGCCTCAAGAACGAAGCTCCAGTGCTGTTCCATAAGGTTACTTCTTTAGTAACTTTTTGGGCTTCAACCCACAGTGATTTCGTGGGAATCCTCTATAACACATTTCTTAGTCAGTGGGAGATATCTTGCACCTCCAACCTCGCAAGACTCAAAGACCTCACAACTGGCAGCCCCCCCAAGAAAATGCCGTCAAACTAAACTTCGACGGTTGTTCGCTGGGGAACCCATGGCCTTCAGGGGCAGGAGGGGCTTCCGTGATCACAATCGCAATATACTACTCACCTACTTGGAAAATTTGGGACTAGGAGATTCACAGTTCGCAGAAGCTTTGGCCCTTCTCTTGGTTCTCAAAAAGTTCAACCCATCTTGAGGTCATTTCTTGGTGGTGGAAGGAGACGCACAAATATCATAGCTTGGGGAACAGGCAACTCCCCTCCTCCTTGGTACAACTCAAGAATTTTTGACGAAATTCATTACATATGCAGGGATATGAACTTCTTATGGACGCATACCTGGTGAACGTCGAACGAGCTCGCCGATCTTCTAGCTAAAGACGGAGCACGGGCGAGTGTGGAAGACCCTGACCAGTCCATCTTCTTTTTTGCTCTGGACCATAACAGTAGTTCACCTTTCTTTTTCACTTGTACTCGGGCATTCTTAGAAGCCGCATTTTTTACTTCACCACAATTTTTTGGGTTATCTGGCAGAAGACTAGGCCTATTTTTTGTATAAGGTCTTATGACCTAATTTTTTGACCAAGATACCCCTCTCATGGGTACTAGAGGAGTGGCGTGCGCCTTAGGGAACAATACCTTTCTTCTGTAAAGTACGAACTTTAAAAGGGTTACTTCAAAGGGTTACTTTCAATAGATGTGTGTCATACTTCATACATAACGTCATATGCTCATGCATTTTTTTTTTGATAACTGAATGCTCAAGCATTTGATTAATGAGGATCAACAAACTATAAAACACCTTTTGACCTCAAATCCTCATTGGGCCAAATTCTCAAAAAAAAAAAAGCACAAAAACACAAATAAGTGCTCAAACAAACAAGTCATTATGGGACGCCCCACTATGTGGCGTGTCCACATCACCCATGTGTGGTGATGTCGCAGCCACATGTTGGCCATGTTCCATTCATTGGCCACTTGGATGCCACATGCACCACATATGCAAGCATCCTTAAATGGAATTTTCTCAAACTAACTCAATTATGCTAATTTTTCTAGAATAAAAATTCACAAGAGAAATCAAAAAATTAGAAAAAATATTTCTCAGTGTTTTCTCATAATTTTGAATTGTTTTTGACCCAGATAAAATAGTTTGATGAAACTTAGGATCCTTTAAAAAATTAGATTGGATAGTCACATACTCCACTCGACTAGTCTCGGAACCTTAAGTCATTTTCTGAAGTCAACGATACCCATGACCTAGAGACTACAACGGGGCTCATGCTTGACTCATCAAAGCTGATCCAATAGATGTCCGGGTCTCGGAATTATCGTGGATTACAAGTGGACCCCCAAGGACATACACTCTTGTGGATGTTAGGATATTTCTCTGGTGCAATTGTGCATGCCTCTTTTTAGTGGGTCAACTAGAAAGAACGGCTTCCCATAGTGCAAGTCTTCATGCACATGCTGTGATATGGTTCAATTTAGGGATTTGGCTTATGTCTTTTAAAAGCCTATCCATCTCACTTAGGGCTCATTCAGTAATGCTCGGGCTCGGAGGAATTCTAAGATCTAATAAATATGCCCAGGCAATAACAACTATGAGGAATTCTAGTTGACTTTGACTTGAGGTAACCCTCAAACCTCTTTTGATTAATCGTCCCTTGCACACTCGCCTCACAATCCAGGGTTTTGCGACCAAATCCGGATCACATCTCGCCAAAAACCAACTAGTCAAGCTATCCATGTTCACTCCCACTGCGAACAAGAACTATAGGAATGGAGGAATCAAGGCTCTGAGATGCCATAATCCCAAAAGGATATATGTATAAAGCGGAGCTTCCAACAAGTTACGATATTTTGCTAATATTTAAAAAGGTATGCAAATATTTAACAAGGTATATGTATAAAGTGGAGCTTCCAAAAAGTTACGATATTTTGCTAATGTTTAACATTGTTGATCTATATATTTTCATGGTTAGAACAATGAAAGATGAATTGACAGTTGCCAAGATTTGAAGCCATTTTGATTGATTTTTTCCGTGATACCAAGACTGATACCATGAGGCATGGATCACATATATGGTATTTTGTGCATTGGAAAGATAAATCTGAAGCAGAAGATTCGTGGATTTCGGAGACAGTTTCAAAGGCTAGATCCTGATAGATGGAACCAATATATTGACTAGAACTTGAGGGCAAGTTCTCCTTCTAACCAGGGGGATTGACGTAGTCCTACCGACATCATGCTGATGTCATCTCCAATATTTAGTTTCTCTTTTATTTATTTACCAGTCACAAGTTATTGTTCATGGGTACTGTTCACAATTATTGTTCACAAGGTATTTCTGAATTTTTAATATTGTTTATGGGCGGTGTGGAGTTTTTGAATTTGTTCAGTACTTATTAATTAGTAAGGGTAGTTTGGTGTTTTAGTATAATTTAGGTTTAGAAGAGCGACTATTAAAAACTTTGAAAAGTGGTTAGAGAGGAGTTTTACTGGTATATCATTATAGAGACAGCCATTTCTCTACAAATTTCTCCATTGAAGCATCGTGAGCTTCAGTTTTGCTGAATCTTGAATTTCCAGCCCTGTTTTCTGTTTAATCTTGTCCATCAATACTTTGTGCTGCATCGTTGTGTTACCCATGTCACTATAACATATCATCTATATTATGATTAGTAGGTCAATCAAGAAAACAAGGAAAACAAGGAAACAAAAACAAAGGAGTATGGTTAATTGGGTCAATGTTATTAAGATTTGGACAGGTCATCGAACCAGTGATGGCAACCATTTAGAAGGCTCGTTTAATGGTTAGACTGGTCTAATAAAAATGAAATGAAGAAACTAAAATAAATAAAGAAACCAGTCAAAACCAGTATGACTACCTGTTCAACAGATGCACTGCCCAATTCAACTGGCTCTAAACAAGTTTTGACTAAACAGAAGTGGTTCTGTGTCCAGTTTATGACCCAACTAGTAGACAAGCCAGTCCTGTTCGGTCTTCATAACATTGGTTCAGATGTGTTACAGTCTTAACTCTCTTTTTGGTGAGATTGTCTACAAAATGTTCAAATTAAGTCCAAACTCTCTTAATGTTCTACAACTGTTGTCCCTAAATTTACCTTAGTTTTCTTTATACTTCTTTATGTTAAAGTGTTTCTCTTCAAGGAGAGTATACTATAATCCAATGGACTACAAAAAACCATAGTCCATTGGACCATCATCATCGATTGAGAAGAATGGGATGACTTATTCCTGGGGAGGGGCCGAAGGGAAATGGATGGTGATGACCCAATCATAAGTCCCACTTTCCCACAATCATAGTCCATTACTTCAGTGCACAGCGATGATATAAAGAATCAGGGTCTTTCATAGTCATTGAAAACAGTGTAACTTCGAGGAGGTTCTTTTTCGTCTTCTAATATGTCTATAAAGAGAGAGAGAGAGAGAGAGAGAGAGAGAGAGAGAGAGAGCAGTACCTCACATCGAGCACTTGGGAGGTCATCTTCTTCATTTCCTTCTTACATAAAGACAAAACATGGGTCCATGTGTGTATTTGTGTGTGTGTGTGAGAGATGCCTCGCATTGAACAAGGCGATCTTCCTCCTCTTCTTATAGGTAGAGAGAGCACATGGGCCCATGAGAGAGAGAGAGGGGCCATAAACAGGCCCTAACATTTTTTCTTCTTAAGGAGGCCTTTTTTTCTCTTCTTTTTTCTGGGGGGTGGCACTAGGCGGGCACCCAGACCCACCTTGAACCAGCCTAGGAAGGCACCTTGGGCATGCCTGCCAAGACCCCCTCACCTAGGCTACTCCTAGGCAGATTGTCTCTCTCTAGTCTAATCCTCTTCTCTCTCTTCTCTTGGTAACATAAATCTAGAATCCCTTTCTTTCATGGTCTGAACTATCAAAAATGATAACTTCCAATTCAACAAGACTCACCCATGTTCCTTTTCTTCCACTATAAGTTTCCAGCTCTCTAAGAATTGGGTCCATCAAAATGAATCCTAAAATATATAAGGATTGGAATAGATTAGAGAGAGAGAGAGAGAGAGAGAGAGAGAGAGAGAGAATTGAGCATTGGCTTTCGTACCATGCAGAGAGGAGCATTGGATTAGAGAGAGAGAGAGAGGAGCATTAAAGACAGAATGGGAGGACTTTAGAGAGAGAGTGTGTAAGAGATTGACAGATTTGGTTAGAACTTTGGATATAGGTGGAAAGAGGGAGTTCAACAGGATACGTTTTGGGACAAAACTATGAGGAAATGGAATAAGGCATATGTGAGAACTTTGGATATAGGTGGAACGAGGGAGTTCAACAAGATACGTTTTGGGACAAAACTATGAGGAAATGGAATAAGGCATATGTGAGGGGGTCCATGAAAGTTTGATATAAATTATTAGGCCGCATGGAATGATAAAATTAAGGAGGTTTATTATGAAAGACCAAATTTTGGGGAAAGGCTAACATGATAATTTCCCTTTCTCATATTTGCATTAATGTGAAAACCTAGAGATAGAAATTTGAAGTTGAGAGGCATACAAGTAAGTTCCATAAGAAGGGAACCCCACTCCTATGTTGTAGCCGCTTCTCAATTTCTCCAATTGCTGCAATCAGTTTTCCAATTAGTCAACCTAAAAACAGATTCATCATCATGAGAACGACAAATAAACAAGAATACCTTTAGATGTGTATCCTGTATTTAATAGAATGGTATACCACACTTCATTAAAAACATCAAGTTGTTCATCAGATGCTCCAATCACCTGGAATCAAATTTCAGCTTGTTTCAAGCAAAACAGTCTTATCCTTAGGACTGGAAAAGTAAAACACAAACGAAGAAAAATCTACATTCTTCAATACCTTAAAGTTGTTGGCATTGAAATCGGGACCAAGAATGTCATACGCGTGTTGATAATCTCCTCTTCCATATTCAAATAAAGCTTCAGCAAGCTAAAGAAAGAAAGGAGGTTATCAGGAACTAAAGACTTTGGTTAGACACATAAGAAGTTAAACTTGGTTTTTATTAAAATGAAGTTCTAGTAAATGGAAAACATTGACAGTGTTGATGATATAGATCATCATGCACAACTGAGTACTCCACACTGATACAAGAAAGGCAAGCAACGATTACAGCAAAATGGGCATCCCCTATTTCCAGTCTCTATTTTCTATTTTTCATAGCAGGGTGTCAGAGTTTAAAGGAAATAAAAATGCCCTTTTATATTGAGAAGAAAAAAGTTATTGGCAAGCAGAAATACCAAAAATGACCATAGAAGAACATGTCATCTCAATTATAAATCTTAGTTCTACTTAACCTAAGATCTCTTTAGGACAAAAAATGGCCCCCATAACAATAGCAAATGACCATTTGTTTTTCATTTTGGTGTCTTTTAAGAAAGATGGCATCATTTCTGCTACAGTGTAGGAGAAATTATGCTATTTATCTCTCGTTAGTAATCAAAACGACATTTAGGATGAGAAGATCAAGACTAACCAATCCACATGAGGCTACAAAGAACTTTCACTCTACAAGCCCATGAATATTACCCAAAAGGTCGTCGTGTTGGGAAGAGAGTTCAGCTGAAAGGAACATATCAGCTAGGACTGACTTACCTAGCTGTAATGAGACCTAAAAATTTAGCCATGAGTATCAAAAGGTTTAAGGATCCATTGGAATGAACCTCAAGAGCTGGAGAGTCAGCCACTCATGATACCACTTGGAGTGCCACAAATGGACTACTTTCTATGTACCAACATCAGGAAATGGATTGGCACACTGAGGAGCTACTTGATGTGGATGATGGGGTAGACACAGTACCCTCCATGGGGCAACATAGAATAGCTTGCAACCAGAATTACCAAGGGAAAAATAAAAAGGAAAAAAAAAGGCTTGCAACCATGTTGCAGCCACTGCAGGCTGAAGTTTATGATTGCCTAGTGGTTATATTCTTTCCTGGTATCAGATTTATAGTTAAAATTTCACCCAAAAGAAAAGATTTTATAGATATTATAGCTAAGTCTCAACTCGCATATAGCAAAACAGCAGGTATTCCATTCGAATGCATGCACACACACCCACACTAACTGGTAAAAAGGCATAAAGTTTAATTCAAATATTCCTCTCATATGGCCGAAGTTTGTAACCTGCACATCACAGACATGAGCTAGATGCAGTTCTACACAGACAACAACACTGGTGATTATGAATACCAAAACTTTTCTTATATTCCCACAAAAAAAATACATGTGGAACTAATAGCTTACTCTAGTTTGAGGAAGTATCAAGAAAGAGGTGTATAATTTTTTTAAGCAAAAGCACGAATAGGTTGACAAAATCAAACTAGGAAATTGTGCCTAAATACAATAGATCATCAAATGGTCGAGACCATCAATAAATCCATTATGAATCCAGTTCCAGTTGCTTTTGTAGGAAACAATAGTGAGGCAAAAAGTTTAAATGCCACACAAACTAGGCATCTAATGGATTATTTTTATTCAACCAATTAGTAGTATAAGGAAATTTATTGATTTTACTTCATAGAACACAAGTTCTAATGATATGAATCTCATGAGGTTCCAACTAACAACTGCCAGAATAAAATGTCAAGCATTGGTTTTAGAATTTATCCTCAAGAAATAATATTTTGCAATCCATACCAACTTCAAAAAATACACTATAGTTAAAATTTCAATCATATACTTTTGACAACAAAATCATTAAAAAAAAGATTCAATAAGCTAACAGAATAGAGTGCAAGGGTCATACCAACACTCCCTTATGCAATGATTGTTGCTTCTTTTGGCTCATCGAATAAAGCCTAGAAAAGAAAAGTTATAAATGCTTCCATGTAATTTTGTAGAAAATTTAAGGTTTCTAGAATAAATTTAAATTTTTTCTCGAATAAATTTAAAGTTTCCTCGAAAAGAAAATTCAAGATTTCCCATACCTAGATTTAATACTCTTGACCAAATCCTCTGCTCTTGGTATTTCCCCTATATGAGCTAACGCCCATACCGATAATAGATCAAGCAACCAATCCACATGCCAACTTTCCTAAGATTTGAACGTTCATGTTAAATAGAATTAAAGGAGCTTATGAGTCACAAAATTGAAAAGCAAAGCTCATCTCATCTGTAACTATTAGTAAAGTTGAACTCAAAACTATTGCAAGATCATATGGTGTCATATATTATATAAGACTCGGAGAAGAAAATCATAGGAATATATTCATGTTTAAAAAGTTAAGCTAATCAATCACAATATACAAACCAAATGAAGAACTCAACAACATTTCATTCACCACGAATGTCAAATACAAAGAAAAAGAAGGCAATGACCAACCATGACTTAAGTGTCCAACCAAAATAATGTTGTAAAGCAAGAGTAAAAACTTTGGAATTATAATTCTAACAAAATCAGGAAGCCCCATGTCATATGTGCGATAGCATAAGAGCAAGGTGACATGGATGACCTGACCACATAACAGTTACATATGAAGAATGATCCAAAGCCTCATATCTCACTACCCAAGAATTGATCTTCCTATGGTGGACTATCCAGCTAGTCAGCCTCAACAGATGCCATCAATATAATATCAGATGCCCACAAGAAACAATGTTTAAGAAAACGCCCCGCCCATTGCCTAGGCCCCCCAGGGGCCTAGGCTGCCTCACGTAGGCCTGGGTGGGTAATTATGGGTGCCAGTTTTGGGGGCCCGCCCAAACAGGCTAGGCAGGCGCTTAGTGCCCAGGAACTGGGCCTTGTTTGGCAGAACAATGTTTGCCTGTGAGGGCATTTGGGTCTTTTTGACCCATGAAAACTGGGAAAGGGCGTTCTAGGTGTAGTCTAAACCTTGGAGAGTGGAAAAACTCAATCCTAAACCCTAAAATATCCAACATTGACTGTTTGGAATTTTTTTGAATCGAGAAAATTTTGTAAAGTTTGAAGAATCATCTGAAAGCTTTCCCTACCTTATTGGAATCATTTTTAGGGTGCTGGTGAGGTTATTAGAAGACTTTTGGGATGAGTTCGAGCTTGATAGACATCTAAAACATCGAAGAATAGAGATCGAACAAAAAGGTTAATTTACAATCTCTATATTTGATATTTCTTTCTTGGATGCAAAATGGCTTCTTCGAGGTCCATTAGGAGTGGATATCTGGGATGGAAATATTGTATTAACATGAATAAAAATGATAAAATAGAATAATGTGCAACTTTTGTGGTCAAATTCAGATGTCAGGATAAATAGGTTCAAGGAACATCTTTCCAGTATTAAGGGGGATGCTTCCACTTGTAAAAACGCTATTGAGTATGGGAAATTAGATTTTCTTGTGTAAATCAAAGCCAAAAAAAAATGAAAAAAGATGGCAACAAAGAAGAAGGATATAACAGATATGAGAGTAAGTATTAATACTTTGATGATGATGAGGAGGAAGATGACAAATGGGATGAGGAGGTGAGTTAGGAGGCAATCTCTCGAAGTTCTAAAAGAGGTTTTGGGTCTAAGAGGCATCGTATGAAAGGCCCCATTGGTGCTTTTTTTATACCCAACCCCAAGGATGCAGTTGAGAAAGAGAAAGGCAACGGCAAGAGGAAGAAGCAAATGACTCTTGAAAACATATTCAAGAAGGAAAATAGAGGCCCTGTAATTCAATACATTCCCCGGTGGTTTATTAGAAGGGCATTTCTTTGAATATTGTTCACTTAAGTAGCTTCCATTCAATACTGGAAGCAATTGGCCAATTTGGACCAGGGTTGGAAGGCCTAACCTCATATGAGCTCTCAAAGCCATTACCGAAGAAAGATGTAGAGTACACCAACGAGTACCTCAAGTCCCATAAGAATGAGTCGGCTCAAGTTGGAGTGTCCATTATGTCATCTTCTGGGGTGACGAGGAGTGCAGTGTCATGAACCTGTTGGTAAATTGTCCTTTAAGTATGATATTTTTGAGATCTATTGATGCTTCTGAATATGTTCATGATGCACATTACATATTCTCTTTGATTGATAAGTGCATTAAGGAGGTTTGGGAGGAGCATGTAATCTAAGTTGTCACAGATAATGCTGCTCCTAATTTCACCATTGCTCATTTGATTCGCCTGAATAAGCCTCGCTTGTTTTAGATACCTTGCGCAACACATTGCACAGACCTCATGCTTGAGGCTATTGGCGAGATTCCAAATATAAAAAAGACACTAAGGCTAAGGACATCACAATTTCCATATACAGCCACATCATTACTCCTAGCATGATGCGCAATTTAACAAAAAAGAGGGATCTAGTGCCGCCAAGGATAACCAAATTTGCTATTGTTTACTCAAGTCTAAAGAGCATATATTACAGGAGGATCCCATTGACATCTATGTTCACTTCAGAGGATTGGCACAAACACAACTGTTCTAAAGATCTCAAAGGAAGAGGGCCTGCGATATTATTCTCACCAAGGTCTTCTGGCATGGGATAAAGTACTCATTAAGAGTATTTCTACCCTTAGTCAAGGTCTTGTTCTTGGTTGATAGTGACAAGCCCTCTATAGTCTTTATATATGCAATGTCGAGAGTAAGCATTGTCCAATTGTGATATTATAGATAGAAAGTGGGATACGTGGCTTCATAAATAATTGCCTGCAGTTGGGTACTATTTGAACCCGAAGTTTCTTATGCTGACCTAGAAATTGAGAGAAAAGATACAATCATGGACATTTTTAGTGAGTGGGAGACTTGTTCCTGAGCTAGATATCCAATATATTTGCTGTGGAACGCATTTTATACAAGTATGCATTAAAGTGGTTTGGGAAGAAAAGGGCAGCAAGATAAAGGTCCAAATCCAATCCTGGTAACGTATTTCATTTTCAAGATTTTCTTTCGAGTTACTAATGCACATTTTCAATTGTTTTAAATTCCTTATGATAGTTTTAAATGTTAGAATTATGTCCTTTCAAGGCCTTAAATTTCGACATTTGGATAGATCTTAACTTCAGTGGAAGTAAAAGCATGACATGACTCTAGGATCTTGACACACTGGGACCAAGAGTCATGGACCCCGAGTGAGTCATGAGGAGGAGTTACATGCATGGGAGGCACCGAGAGGGTTGAGGGTTACCTCTTAGTTAAGGTCGGTTATTATGTTTGTTCCTTATGACTGAGTAATGTGTCAGAGCGACGAGATTTATATGTTTAAATAATTATGTGATATGAGCTCGATGATGAGATAGACCTATACACGAAGGTTAGGGCCAATAAAGCGCATTGACCTAAATCCTCGACTCTTAGAACCTTCTCGTAGCATGTGCATCTACAGTCACAATGCATAAGAAGCCACTCTTCTAAGGATCCACTGATAAGAGGTATGTAAAAGAGGAACCCCTGCATCATGTGTGTGTATGTCCTCTAGGGGGTACACCTGAAATCCACTTATACTTGGGGATTCATGGTTACTCATTGGTTTGACTTTGATAGGCTAAGATCATGAGCCCCTGATTATACATTGTAGTTCATGAGTCTATTAGGTCATACCAAGGAGGCTTTGAATTCCAGGTCTACCCGAGTGGAGTGCTCTGATTCATAATTCGACTCCAAGGATCTTAATTTCCCTTGTAAATGATTTTAAACAATGTAAAAATGATTTATTTAGATGGAAAATCATTAAAATGATTTTTGTAGATTTTTGAAATATTTTCCGAGCAAGATAATGCATTTTCTAGGCTTGTTTAGATGAAATGACAAATGATGACAGTCCCCGGAGACCCATACGAGGCATCCAAATAGCCAATGGGTGTCAACATGGAGGCCTAGGGGGTCCCACATCATGCCACGTGGAGGATAATGTGGGGATAACATCAACCCCCATGGGGACCCCCATGTCCTTTTGTATTTTGTTGTATTAGGTGAGGGGCATTGTATTTTGGTATTTTGTGGAATATTGTGATTTTAGAAAATTGTTTTTGATCACAAGTTTAATGTGAAAAAGCAAGGGGTTTGTAAACATATGTGAGGCTTCTAAAAGGGGTATAGGGTTTGTAATTACAAGCATAAGCCTAAGGGTATATGATAATTGTGCAATTAACCACCTAACTTATATGGCATGATTTCATTAGCCTCACATGCTCTTATAAAATGGAGGAAACTTTTTAGATTTGCTTTTGGTGGAATTTTGACAAATTACCACAAGGGTATTTGTAAATGTAAAGAGCATGGGCATTTTAATAACAAGGGAAATTGGAGTGAATTAAAAGAAGATAAAGGTGTTTGAATCCATACCACTCATCTTGATGGCATAATGGTGGATGGTGGGCTAGGATCAAGCCTCTCTTTGTAGCTATTGGATGATGACATGGAGGGCCAAGATTCATCAATCTAGAAGAATCTTTACACTTTATGACTAGAAGCTTATAAATACCCCCGTAAGCCTTAACCCTTCACACATGAGGGGAGATTATGCCTCATATTCTTATTTTCATAAGAGGATGTTACGTTGAATTTATGTAGCTTGATTTGTGAATTCAATTGAACCGATTTTGTGTTTTAAGAGCCTTGATTTTTCCTACGATTTCTCCACTTGCTTTGACCACTGCAAATCCTTCCATGTTTTAAGAGTATATCAATAGAGGCTTGGCTTCCCATTCTTGAGATGATAAATTTGGCCGAATTGTAAGTTATGCCATCACATGTCACCCAATGGCACATAGCTAACATCCAAGGCCATAAACTGGGCACCCGAGTGCTCTAATTGGCTTTCCATGGTCATGTCGCATTGAATACTTGAGCATATGTGTGTTGTTATGTTGGAGATCATGTCATATTGAGTTTATGGAGATTATTGATATATAATTTTGCATTGTAATCTTGAGTGGTGCAGAATTTTCAAAAGCACCTCATACATGTGTAGTTTCATGATCTTCTTGAGTAGTTTGTTGTTGATGGACAAGGGATACTAGTTGAGTTGTATCCTCAATTCTTGAGTGTATTTTAAAATTGTTTGTCCACTGTAATTGCAGTAACCTTGCTGTAATTTCATTTTGTAAGTTCAATTCCAAGTGTATTGTGTAAAAT